TCTTTTTTGGGGAAATGACTAAACACAAAAGCAGTAAGTATTAAGGAAAAAGAAGAAGAAATCATATTAATGGAAATCAAGGATATGAGAACGGATTGAAACCAAGAAAAATTAATAATAATTTGAGAGCAGAAATTGATTTAACAGTGTCATATTATATCTCTAGCAAATGGCTTTAACCTTGATTGAATGGGTGGAATCCAATTCTAAACATTTTTTTTTTTCATTTAAAAATGCTTTGTTAACGGCATTTATTAACATCAAATTCTCATAACATGTGGTAATATGGTTTTCGATCATTGGTTATAAATAGGCTTGGCAAATGGGTGGGCAAGTTTGGGTTGAGAAAACTGGGGCGACGGGTTGTATAAATTGGGTTGTAAACAAGTTACGGATTGAAAAAATCCAACCATAACTTGACTCTAACAGGTTACGAGTTAATTAATGGATTGATCTTATTTTCATTTTTTATAACTATTTTTATTAATTTTATTATATATAAATAAAATTATATATTTAAATCCAATTAAAATATTGTAATTTATTAATATTAAACACTTTATAGTCTCAACTACAAACATTTAAATTAAGAAAAAATCATAAAATTATAAATAATAGTAAGTTGATAAACAATATTAAACTTAAAATATTTAAATTCTTTGGAAAATAAAATTTTAATTTTATAATCATTTTGAAACATTATTAAAGTGTTTAAGCCTTTTTTTAATGATGAAATTGATATTTCAAGAACATTTTTCACTAAATTATTATGTTTATATTATAGCATCACATTTTAAATATTTTTAATTGTATTATTATTTAATTCATGAAATTTGAAAATTAGATCAAATCTATATAATTTCTAGAGAAATAAGAAGAACCATATAATTTCTAGAGAAAAAAGGTGAAATTATAATGAGTAAACACTCAGAATAAATTCAAAACCATTTGAGTAATGTAAACGAGATTGAAGAATATTAATTAATGAAGAAAGTTATCAATAAGAAAATTAATTAAGAATAATAAATATAATATTTTTAAAAATAATAATAATAAATAAAACAAATAGATCAACTTATCAACATGCAAGTTGACCCTAACTCCATGTGTAATTTGTAGGGATTTGATATTACAGGTTATATATGAATTGTGGATTGAGATATATAGACTTTAACCTATTTTTACGAGTTGAGTTAAAATCAAGTTAGTGGATCGGATGAATTTTTGTCACCTCTAGTTTTGAATTGTCACTTAGGCGGGACGGGAGAATTTGTATGTATTAATAGGGGAGGTGGCGATGGCAACCAAAGTAGTCAATACCGTACCGGCATGCGTACCGATTTTGTTATTAAAACGGTAC